AAGCATAAGGACAACCTTCTGCCTGTGAGTCAAAGTAGTGCAAACTGGCTGCAGCTGCACTATAGAGAACTCATCCCTCTTTGCCATGTGCTGCTGGTCTTAAGACATAATAGCTGTCGTAAGGTGGGGGATAGGAGGGAGGAATTGAGCCCCTGGTTTCTCTGTTGATATGAGGGACCATTTGCAAACAACTGAAGGGAAGTTTTCCTCATTTGGTAGAAGTAGTGTCTTTGCATGCTCTGGATAGGGCATGAGGGTAGTGTGGGAGTATCTAGAGACACAAAGTCTTTATGGACAATTGGACAAATATTGGAAAATTTTAACTTCAAAAGATAAATTTACAGGCATTTTGTCAAAATGTTGAAAAATCCTGAAGATGGGTAAGATTGCTCTGGAAGAGTAGCATGTGTCCTCAGTATGGGTAAGAGGAGTAAAACGAATAGTGGCTGCAGGTTCAGTCCCAAAGAAAAGGGCTTTTTCCTTTTATGGTTATGAAAACATAGACCATTGTTATCAGCATCAATAAGCAGAATTCCTTGATCATTTTTCAAAGCTGAAAATATCTGTAATGATATTGACTTCAGAATTTTTTCATGGTGTCTTAACCACTGTAAATGCTCTATACATTGGTGATATTTGGGTACTTTTGAATGTATTAGCATTTGAGATCTTTCTCTATGTCTGCATGTTCTCTAAAGCTAGTGCCAAGAGATATAGCTCTTTGTCACCCCCACTGATACACATTTTCTGCACCCATGTGGTTAGGGAGGCAGTGCATAGAATGGAGGGGTCAGAACAGGAAAGACAAGAAAAAGCAAGCAAAGGCCTCAAGTATCAACAAGGCTAACTTAATATTTCGGGAAAATAGGTATAAAACTTCAAAACAATGGTGGAGATTCTACTGAGGTTTATACAGCGAGAATTCAGACAAATGTTCTTACTTCCATCTCTTACAGCAGCATATAATTAATCCCTGAAGGAAAAGGCTGAAAACCTCAACTTCAGTTGAACTGTAACATTGCACAAAGCACTTGGAGAAAAAAGTTCCCACTATAATATTTTCACACAGGCTGTTAGTGAGATCTCCTCTACATTCTCTTCTTTCAGAGTATGTATATAAGATTTTTGTGCGTGATCAGTGTGTCATGTCCCACAGCCCTGGAGAGATACATTTACATGTTTCCCCCAGTCAGCCTCACAGACAGAGGTGAAGGTGGCAGTGGTTTATATTAGACAAGTAAAGATTCTTCTGCATTCTCTTGTGCTTTCTGTTTATTTGTGAGAGAAGATGCTGCTTAGGGTGGCAAAAGCACAGTAACATCAGGAGAGGTCACTTATGGTGTAGAACTGCAGAGTATGGGGTGGTATCTGTATCTTTCCAGATTACCAATACAAACTTTTGTGTGATCAAATCGTAATACATATCACAGAAAAAAAATCTGTATTAAAACATTTTAAAAAAAACCCTTTCATCTATATTTTCAAATAACAAATAATTTGCTCTAGAAACAGCATGTGTGAGCCCAAAAGACTTCAAAAAGAGGAATTAATTGACATTTCTGTGATAAAACATGACTGGGTAGGGAAAAACCTTAACTGATTGCTCTTCACTCAAATCTGCTTTTGCAGAGACATAATTGAGCCCTAAAGCTATTGTCCGCTTGACATCTTTAACAAGAAATTAACTTTCACTTTACTTGTGTCAGGACCATGCATGACCTTGCCTTGAAACTGGCAGCTTTTGAAAAACAAGGCATTATATTCTCATTTTTAACTTGACCGGGAAATGGATTTTTCTAAACACTAACTAGTAAGTTCCAATTCATATTTGTTTGAATGGATAATGCCAGTAACCTACTGTGGCAGTGTGGTACAAAATAATGAAACACCTGGGTTTTACTGCATTTAGAACAGTTATACTCCAAGAAGAAATCACAGAAGCACCCATGTTCAGTTTTACAGAGTAAGGCCTTGTACAGACTGAATGTATCCATTTTTTTCACTGGATCTCTTCTTTCGTCTAATCATAAAATCCTGTTGGATAAAATACAATGCCTTATTGAGCAGTGTTGATAGAAACTTGCAGTAAGAGCCAAACCTGAACAGTGAGATAACCTAAGGATGCACATAAAGAATCTCTCCTTAATTAACCCAATGGAAGGAAGATTTTTCCAGTTCATTTAAAAAGGTTTGACAACCAGAAGAGTCATCAGAATCTATTTAAAATATTAACATAATTTCCACATACAATTTTAAGTGTCAGTTTTAACATTGTAGGGTTTTGTTGTTATTTTCTTTTGCTTACCTTGACCATGAACTCATGTGGGCAAAGAACTTGTGTTTAGACAACTCCAGCCTTTTCGAATTTTTTCTTCTTCTTCTCTTGAACCCCAAATGATTCCAGCATCATAGGAGCCTTCATCCCTTTCACAAAAACATGCCTAGATGATGGTGCCACTGGGCTACACAAAATGCACTGCAGGTCTGTAAATTATCTCTAGCCAAATGTAGAATATGAACTGGTATTTGACAGCAGTGACCCAGGTAAAATTTCCATCAGCTTATGGAGAATTACACATGATCTTTACAAGGTCCAGACGGGTGCATTTTCCTGGTGTAATATTGTGTATCAAAAAGATGAAAAACATAATCCTAGCAACTGCTTTGAAAATGGTTTTATCCATTAGGTAGGAGTCCCATTATCCTGAAGCCATTTATAACACTACTTTCTCAGCAATATGTTTATGAACATCTTTATGTAGCTCATTGTGTTTATGAATGAATATAGGCTCATAACATTTTTCTGTTGCAAGGGAACAGTTTCATCTGTTTTTCCTGAAAGGTGAACTGAACCAGAGATATATGGAAGTATATGCAGGTAGGAGAACATCAGCACTTTCTGAATTATGTCTTTGGAAGTGCTGCAATTTACAAGCTTTTCTTGCCTTGCTTATGCTGTTGTGGTTAAAATGCAGCTGAGGGGTTTCAATCACCACTGTGCTACAGGAACACTAGATTTGGTTATACCACTGGCATATGAATGCACCACAGCAGAGAGGCTGCAAAATTCATGTAAGAAGAAGCAAGCTAAGGAAATTTGTGATTTATAGGGATAAAACTGAAACAGATAATGTGTTTGCCCTATATTCTAAAATTATTGAAATTTAATCTGTGGTCCTGAGAAACCATGCTGATAAAGCTTAAAATGAAACTTTATTTTAAAATAAATCTTTATTGCACCTGTCCAAAAGCACAGCCTTTCTATTTTGTCTTGCAGAAAAATAAAAAACAATCAAAAGAGTGAGCAGGAAATAATTATTTTTATTTTAACATGAAATCAGAAAAAAACCCCAAACTTATCTTTGAGATTTGCTGCTACTTTTTGTTTATTAAGGGAAAAACAAAGTTTAGGACAGTGGTTAATATTTCAAAACAGTGTTCAATATCCTGATTTTACATGAAGTTTTCTAAGAAAATAGTTGGTCAATACAAATTTTTTACTAACAGACCTTAGCAAAAATCAAGCTTAAAAGAAATTACAGATATTAGAGAAAATTTTGATTCAATTAGTGTAGCAAGGACTTCGAACTTCTTCATAATGGCTTGTAGCTACACAAGCACATTTTGCACTTAGTATTCCTGTGGTAACCCTAAACTCCTCAGGGCTCACTGCAGCAACTGCATATTTATCCTAACTTTTAATTAAAAATTAAAAATAGACAGATGTTGCAAAGAATCAAAAAGGAAATTTTAGGGTTTGAAATTATTCATCTATCAAACATGCTGCCAGAATTTTCATCTTGAGAGGTGAAATGGTGAAACAGTAATTCACACAAGAGGAATGTGATAAGAGGGCATTGAATCACTTCCAGTGGGATTATTCAAGGCATGCAAAAGGCCCTGGATTCCAGCCACAAATCCTGCTCATTTGCCTTGGAATAGGTGACACTGTTCATCTAAACGACCTAGATGTGTGTAATCACTAGGGAGTTTTCAATGATAATGTGTTCAAATACCAACTACTAAATAATATTTGCAATCATTAAACTAAATCAAAGTTGATAGAAATGACCACTATTTCAATTTGCAAGTCTTATTCCCCTTAAATTGTTCCAGGATGTTAAGGATGGTAATTGCTTCAAAGTCCTTTGTATGTGTGTATGCAGAAAGTAGGGTGGGAAGAGATAGCATCAGTTTTGGGGAGTAAACCCTTAGAGGAACAAGTGCTCATTACAGTGTCTTAAATAGGTGCTCTTTCCAGATTGAACTCAGATGAAAAACCAAACAATCAGTATGGCTGTTACCCTGGTTCCTTCTCTGGTCAAGTTTCCAGAATCCAGCAAAAAAAAGGGGCTTTTTAATGCATTTTATAAAATCCTGTATGTAAAGCCCATGCTCCTTCTTCCTGGCATGTCAATCTGCTGTTAAGCTAAATTCCTGGTACTATACGGTCACGGAACACTCCTGTTCTTCACTTTGTGAGAATTCACAGACTGTTTTTTCTGTGAGTACGGAGCAATCTTTGGAAAAGTGGAAAGGAAAAAAACCCAGTATCAAGAATCAGAATTCAAACAAAGTTAAGATGGATGCTCAGGCCTAACTCAGCTGTTCAAAGAAGATTTTGGCTTCAAAAAGTGGAGATTCATCATTACTACAGATGATACAGGAAAGACATGCACTTTGAGACATGAAGATATCCAGGAAGGAAATTGTGGTTTTTTTCCACACAAACGTTTATGGGCTTAGAGACATTTGTTTAGCAAAAGCAAAGCAAATCCCGGCATATGACAATGTCATTTTGATTTAGATTAGATCACAACAGACTAAATTCAAAATTCCTTTTCAAACCTCCCAAGACAGTAAAATTCAGACCCTAAATCAAGCAAAAATAAATGAATCTCAAAAACACTGCAACAACAAAAAAAAATACGCTAAATCAAAAAGTAATATGAAAAATAGAAATTTTAAAAACAGAACCAAATATAAAATATTACCTTTGAAGTCAATACATGATTTATTGTAGATATTTTAGTACATTGACCATCTAGCTAAGTCATTAACCAGATCTGAGTCATGGTAATGATATTACATTTTAAGACAAGAGAAAACTAAAAAGGGAAAAAGAAAAAGAGACTTTCACACGAGAAATTCAATTTCCTTTTGGCTCTATTGCCGCCAGAGACCAATTTGGAGCAGGTCCTATGATAAATCCACCACCCAATGCCATTGCAAATTGCTGGGTTAATGAAGGGAGTTCAAGTAGGGAAATGAGAGGAGAGAGTAGCAAGGTGCTGATCGTCTGTAAATTACTTGCTGCAGGGCGTACGATGTTAAAGCTCAGAGAGTGGAATACACCATTTTTTTCTTGGATGATAAGCAGAGGATTTACTTCACTTTCATTACTATATTTCACCAAAACCTCCCCGTCAAACTAATTCATTTTTGTATATGCAGCAGTGTAAGGTTATGGCAGAGGAATTTCATGCGCAAAAAAGGAGTGAAATAAAGGCAGATTAGAGAGAAAACATATGAAGCTTTTTAGGCTAGAAAATACTTTTCTAAAATAATGAAAGTGATGTTTTTAAAATGTTTGATACTGTTTACAGGAAAAAAAAAAGTCTGGCAACTTGCTTTTGCAAATTCTTGTATATTGTACCTTCACACTTCCTTTCCTGGTAGTTACTTAAAACTGGAGGAGGGAATCACTTTTTCCCATAATACATATGCCATCTATAGGGAATGGTTTACTTCCCTTCCCCATGTGTTCCAAAACCATAATTGTAATTATCTTAACTAACTTCATAAGGTAACTTCGTATTTTTTTTTTGTGAATTCACTATTCCTGTAACTTCATCTTTGCATTGCAGATTTTTTTTAAGTACACCAATATCTTTACAAGTGAACCAGGTTAAAACTACTGAGACATAACCTTTATTTCTTGATTTGGTTGTTTTGGGGCTTTTTTCGTGGGGGGAGGAAGGGGAATGTTTCTTTGGTTTTTGTTGGTTTTGTTACTGTTTTTTATACCTGATAGTTCTATCAAGTGAAGAAAATACTTAAGACTGCTCCCCTGCCTCCTCTAAATATCTGGCATTAAATTCACTGCTGTCTTATAGCCTCAACTTTCAGACACCTTCATGCATTAATGGAGTTACTTTTGTAAGTGGCATTATCCTCATGTTCGTAGGGTTAGTATTTTCTCTAATGTTGCTCTCTTTGGCCTTTCCAGGAAGCCAGGCTCTTTTGCATGAAGAAGGATGCAGCATTTCCACATGAAGCTTCAGAGTGAGCAGAATCTGGTTATGGCATCTATCTGTTGCCTGTTCAGGAGCTACAGTGTGTGTCTTGATCCCTTGTGACTCTTCTTGCAAATAAAAATGTAGGAATTTAAACATTTCAGTGTTTTTTATTTTACCATTCCATCTTCTGAACCAATGTAACAATGCTGGCTTGAACTGTGAAGCAGAAGGAAAAAAAGTTAATATAAGATAAACAGACAGACATAAGCTTCTCTATCGTTTTCTAAAAATTTCAGCTTTGATGCTCATTACTTTATAGAAATAATTTTAAGTTGTCAGTTTTTCTAAGTAGTGTCGTATGTGAATTTTCAGTCTTAGTTGTTCCCAAGAACATTGCTGTACTTTTTTAATTAATGTGTTTAAAGGTTGCAAACGGGAAAACTGTAACAATTCCCCAAGCCAAGAAAATCAGAGCACATCTTTAAACAATCTAAAGGAAAATTCCTCTGTTCCAAGAGGAAAAGAAGAAATCCTTCTGACATCTTACATTTTATTGAGTTAACACTTGTTCATCATATGAGTATATAAGTAAATTTTTCACGTCCCCTGTGAAGATGCTTCTAGCAGGGAAAAAGGGCTTGCAGGCCATGATACACTGGCGCTGGTACATACTGATAGCCATATTAGCCAAAACCAAATAGACAAAGAAAAGCCTTACATGTTAATGAAAGCATTCAGACCCCATGCAAAGGACTTTGACACAACAGTGAGGCTTCTATAGCGAATAGCAGGGAGTCCTTGATCCTGTGGAGCCTGATAAGAGAGCAAGCAGCCATCGACATCAAGTTAACAAGTCCTTTCATGAACAGGAGGGCACTCTTCTGCCCTCCTGATGTCATGGCTAATGCCGGCTAAAACATCCACCCAATTACTTGCAATATGTTGGTCCTATGGAAAAGATAGGAGATGAAACATCGTGATTTCCTTAGTTTTGAAAATTGATGTAGAAAGTTAGAAAGGGCTGACGATTTTGTTAAAAAACAGGAAGAAAAAGTAGGGTTCATAAACCTGTGCCAAATGCTCCCCACTTCACAGGTGATGCAATAGCTTCAGGTTGTACCGTCAAGTAAACACCAGGTGGTATCTGATAAAAAAAAAAAAGACTTTCACCTCGTGCTTCTGTTTTGAGATGTGAGTGCAGCTTCGGACTCAAGAAGCTGCTAAAGAACGACTGCTTGAGTTTCATACAGAGGGCCCAAAATGCCAGTCTCAAATGCCCTGGTCAGTGGCTATTACCTTGCTACGTGTGCCAGCAGCACTGGTTATCATCACCTATAAAATCTCTTCTTCCACTCACCTGGAGAGAAGACAATTTCTAAAATTCTAATCTTCTGATTCTAAATTTCCAGAGGAAAAAAGAAAATGGCAGTAATAGAGATTCTCCTGTGCTATTACTGTAAGTGAGCCCTTTATTTGACATTGGACTGTGAAAAGATCTATGCTGAAAGCTATTGCCCTGCTTCAGAGAGAGCTATCTCATTTCATTTTTCCTAACATTTGCCCTAGCTGCCATGGAGAGTGTAAAGAACTGATACTTTTATACCCGAAGTAAGATGTGTGTTACCAGCTTCAGCTGCAGACATAGGCACAGTGCCTGCTCCCTAGATACATATGCCTTTTGTCTCTTCACTATCTGGAAGCATCTTCCAAAATATTTCTGAAAGGACACACTAGTAAAGAGAGTTGGTGTGACTTTCCTACTAGCCCAGAATGAATATAATTAAGTGCTGTAGCCATCTGTCCAGACACCAGGGTCTGCATGCCTTTTCCAGACTTGGTAGCCAGAAAACTGGATTAAAGAACGTAACTCCTTCTATGTTTTTAGAGAACACTACGAAAGGTCAGGTCCTTGAGTGAGTGCCTCTACAAGCTTTAATCTCTGATTAAGCACAGGAACAACAAAAGCCTGAAGGCAATTGTATTTCTTACTGAAAGATTAATTAAAACTTATCAGAATGCTCTTAATTTAGTCTTTGACCTTTTGAATGTGCTAACAAGTCAGAATAATTGTGTAGAATCTTCGCAATAGACAAACAAAACAAATTGTAAAAGCATCAAGCTTAAATTGGTGGCCTGTACATCTGCAGCTGAAGTGGGTACCTTATTTGCTCAGCAAATTTTCAGTAATAATTTCTGATTTTCAGCTGCAGCCCTTAAGCAAGAACAGCTGCCAAAATGGAGGAACAAGTTTCCTGGGCACGTTTAGCGTAAGTACAAAGTATTTTACTGATAGTCATTGGGAACGTGATAAATATTTGAGGTGAGCAAAATATAGAGGGTTTTTTTCTCAAAAATAGTAACAAGCTTACTTTCAAGACATGTAATTTCACTTTCTAAGCTTCTTCATTATTTTTGTTATTGGTCTAATTTCCTAACATTGTAGATTGTGGCATGGTGAGGCATGGGGAGTGGACCAAGGGCAGCTGCCTCCATCGTCAGTGTGTCCAAGGGGTCCTTGCTGTTTTCCTCATGATCTAAGAGGTGGCTCTGGTAAGAGACACAGAACACTGTGTATGATGGAAACCTTTAAACCAGCAGCCAGCTGTCCATTCACGTTACTCATGACTATCTCTGAGTCAATGCACCTGCCTAAAACAATGAGAGTGTTTGTGGAGATCCCTTCACATCAAAGAGTTAAATGGATTTAAATTCCTTCTACCCCCACCCCATACCCAGCTGAATTTCCTGAATAGCGCTGACACTGACCACCAAAATGACAGAAAGTTATAATTCCTATAAAAGTGGCACTTCTCTCCACAGAAGAGTGTGGATGTGGCTTGGGGCAAATTAGAGCAGAGCTGATGGGGTCTGGAGCTTTCGAGTGTAGGTGGCAGAGAGCTTCTCAGGGGTGTGAGGACAGGCTCAACTAGCTAGCCTCAGTCCCATTAAAGACCAGCTTGTCACTAGCTACTTCAGGTTTTGCCAAAACCATTTGCCAAAACTTATCTACAATAGGAACAATTACATTTGACCCATCACAGTAGTGACGAGACTCTGAAAAACAAGTGCAGTCTCTTCTCTCTTTTGACCCAGATTTGAGGCACATGTAGGACATTGATAAATAGGGCTCCTATTCATTGTGTCAATTTCAAAAGAAGTAGAGATTTGGGGGATTTTTAGAGGATTGTTCCAACATTAAACTCACTGTGAAGTTTGAAAGCCTTGGGTAAATCATATCAGGAGTTTGCAGAGTTGTCCAAAGTTTGAAACTTATCCTTCATTGGAAAAAAAAAAGGAGAACAATTTCCTTTTCCCACTTCCATTAGTGAATAATTCTAATTTATCTGGCCTACCAGAAATTTAAGAATGAGATCTGATGAGTATACATGTGTGTTCATACAAACACAAATTGAAGTGAAGAAGAAAACTACATACGTATGCAGAGACATTTAGTTTTTGAAGTTCATATTTACTTCAGTAGATAGTATATATATATACACACACAATATACTAAAATACAAAAACAGACTTATCCCAACAGAGTGATGCTGAACAAATTTGATTCATGACCAACATGGTGAGCTTCTTTCAGAGGCTCTTCAATTTAAACAAAAGTCTTCTAAATGCATGAACTTATCTATATATGACAAAAAGGGCTCTTCTTTGTTGAACATTTAGCACATTAAGATATTAATGCAAGAATTAAGCAAACAAAAAAACCCCAACATTCTGATTACTAAATTTGCTAATTTACTTAATAGCTTTACCAGGTTAATTGGATTTTGTTAATCTCTCTACAATTAATTTTTCTATCCACATTCTCTTGAGAATATTCCCTGCATAGGAAGAAAAAAAGCCTGAGAGCTTTAGTACCCTGACATTTTTGTTTCACATTAAAACAAATTTCAGAGTCTCTAGAGGGAACATTACCTCCAGCTACTTACTTCATATGCACTTGCAGAGAAAAATATGGCAGTACTTAAAATGCAACATTCTAGTGAATATCTGAGATTTACATATGAATACTCAGATATTTTCTCTCCTAAGCACCATAAAATCTCATCAGTCATTTCTAAAATGTTCTGAGTGCCGCTGTTTGCTGCTCTTTCAAAATTGTGAACACTGTCTTTAAGGACCCTCCATCACTGACTGTTCTGCTGAAGTATTTTCTGTGAGGGCTGAAAGGAAGTAGTTTAGCGCAATAAAGAATTTGAAACAACGCAGGAAAATCATTCTTGTTTCTGTTTAATTTAAGCTATTTAAATGGAAGGCTTTTTGTTTGTTCAGGTCTCACATAAAGAATCCTCCTGACTGGATGCAGGTTGGACACAAGTCTGAAGGACTGAACCTTCAGCAGAAAGCCTGTCTCCTGTTGTGCCAACTCCCACCGCTTTGGCAGCTTCTCTAAGGAGAGACAGACAGAAACAGAACCGTGGTTCCTGACCTGCAGAACACTTTGCATACAGAGCTTCAGACAGTTGGCAGGTCCAGACCTGACTGATTATCTGTCAGTGGCTTATTATCTGGTGGAAGAATTGCAGTACACCTCCATGTCCATCTTCCTCACAGCTGCACTAATGCCAGGGCTGAAAAACTGGAAGGCCCGTATGAGAAACGACCTCCTTCTTTTAAAATTTCAAAGGTTTATTAAACCTTACAAAAACACAACAAAGTATGAATAAGAAAAAGTTACAGCACGGGGAGCACGGAGCTAATACACCATGTGCTCACCCACAAAAAGGCTGCCCTGCCTTTTATACCCCTGGGGGTTGCCTCAGGCAGTCCTGGCCCTGCCCAGAGGTTGCCAATCAACTCTTCTTCACTGCCCATTGGTGGAGACTGCTCTCCTGTAACCTGATTGGCAGTCAGGTGTTGCCATGCCGCACCCCCTGGCAACAAGCCTGCCCCGCCCCCAACTGCCCTGTGCAAGGGCACAGAGCTCGCCCTCCTGCCGCATGTCCCGACCACCAAGGCCGTCCCTTGGCAACCATCCGGGGGAAAGGGGACTATGGAGAGAACACAGGACATCTAAACAACAAACCACAATAGCATAACCATACATCAGTAAAACTTCTTTTAACATACACACAATATTTATCCCTTAATTGTGAGAGCCAACCGTCGCATTACCCATCTACAAAGAATGTTTCCTGGAAAATGAAAGAAAGGTGCAATCCCCCTCACCCCTCACTTCTGTGCACTTTGAAATGGCCTTACTTCATCCAGCATATCATTCAGTACTGAAAGGTCAACTCTTCCAGTGAAAAAAAAAAAAATTCATATACTTGTTATTTATTTTTATAATTAACTTCAATGGTTGCCTGTTTCAGCCTCTGAAACGATGAACTTGAAGATGCTTTCACAGTGTTTGTGCAAAGTTTTTGTTCTTATAAACTATTGGCTCATTTTGTGGGGAGTTTTGAGTTTGAATTTTTTATATTTTTTCGCAGAGGAAACTTTTCTTTTGAGTCATGGTTTTTAAAGTTTGTATCTTAAATATTTCTCAGGGCTTTAGGTCTGTATTTCACCATTCTAGTTACTTTTGACATGTACAAAGAAATTTTTATTTCAAAACTAATTCTAGGATTTAACATATTCTATTTCTTAAAAAATGAAAAGTATCAAAAATGAAAAGTATTTGTCAGAATATTTAAAATGCATTTTCAAAATGTGAATCATGTAAAAACACAGCTTGTTTAACTAGAAAATTCAGAACAAAAAGATTCTGTGCTACCAGAACTTCCTTTCAAAAACAAAAATAATATTACTGATTTTCCTTCCTTGAACATTTTTATCTTGGGGTCTTTTCTCAGTAACACTTATTTCTTTAGAGCTGGAAAAATCATAAAAGAATTTTTACTAACACCTTAAGATAGAGATGTATTTATTTTTAGTGTGCATACTCAGAGGCTTTTCAGTTCTGGCAAGTAACTAAATGATCAAATTGTTTACTTTCTACCTTGAAGAGTTTCATTTGAAACTAAAAATGGGACAGGAAGAATCACAAAATTAAATCTCATTTCCACTTTTCATATTTTTTTTCCTCTAGAGAAGAGTCTGGATTTATTGCAGAGTAAATTTATACCTATGCCCATCACAACAGAGCTAGCACATGATTGATGTCAAGTGCTAAAATGTATGCCCAATGACAGTTTATTATCATTTATTTATTAAGTCTGATGTCTTCAAAACTGGCATAAATTGAATGAAAACCTGATCTTTCCATAAATCTTAGGAATGTGTCCTTGTGACACATAGCAGTAGGATTCATAGTATTAATATTTATTTAGAGCACACACAATATCCTTGAGTCCTGGTTGTTTCATTAATTTTCAACATATTCAGTGACTGATTTCTTTATTCCCAAGAACAGGTATTGTTTGGATTTGTGTCTGGTTTTGGTTTTTGTTTTTGTTTTTCCTTTTTTTCAAAGAAAAGAATCAATGAAATAAGATATCTTTGCCAATCCCAACAGTTCAGGGTACCTTACATGGTACCGTATCTCCCAATAAAACCACACACAATAGAGCTCTATGTTTACAGTCTCACAGTCAGTGAGGAAGGTGTAGGAAAAACAGCCTATGTTCATACTCAGGAGGGATTGATTGCTGCATAAGCAATGGTTTCTCTTCCAAAAGTCTTCCCTACATGGGGAGGTTTAGTCACATAGCTGCTCTTGTACAGACCACCAGTAACACAGGTAGAGCCCGCAGCTGGGAAAATCGATTCATGCACAGTTCTATCAAACACAACAACAGCATTTTCGTTCCTAATGTGGACTGCAGAAACCTTGTTTAAAACATGTTAGCTGATCATGATGGAGCTCATGTGAAGGAATGAGGTCACAAATGTCTGAAAATGTCTCAAAATGTCTAAATCAACATTTTCTTCAAATATTGTCTGCCTCCCTGTAGGCCTTAAGTCTTTTCCCACATTGAGGCAATGGACTTGGACATGGATTCCTCTCTCTCCAACACAGCCAAATGTAGGATAAATTCTATGTTTTTGTGGGACAAGTTCTGTTTTAAGCTAGATTTTTGGGCACAGTGTATACAGTTGCACTGAACTAACTTTCCCTTTCTGGCTTTACACTCCCCATCCCCAGCCACACAAACATGTAGCAATATTCCCAATCTTACTAATCTAATAACTGATTTACATTGCTCCAGGCTAAGAAAAACAAGCCAGCACCCCATGAGGCATCCCATAAAACCCCAGCTGTCCATCCATGTCTTACCTTGTTATGAGATAGCAAACACTGACAAGCACTTAATATAACAGCAGAAAGTTGTGTTAACCCTTTTTCCACCCTTTTTTCCCCTGTTCTTTCTAGTAAGGTTTAAATTCTTAAAGGGTTATATTTTATGTATATTTTTTCTTGTACTTGTATAAATAAGCCAAAATGTGAAAGGAACAAGAACATTTCATTCTCTACCCAGTGTTCCTTAGATGTAAATGTCAGAAGGGCAGTTCAATGGAGTTCAGTTTCTGATATTTTTTTCTCACCACAAACAAGAACCAGAGTTACCAGAGATAAGAAATCCTATTTAACTTAATCACAAGTAAATTAATTTCCACACTGTACTTAATACACTATTCCATCATGGAAGTGATCATTAGTTTTTATTAGAGAACAGAAGGGGATGGTACAGAAGTGCATAAGATTAGGGAAATATTAGTCAAAAGACAGCAAATAATGTACTTTGACTTTTCTCATTAAATCTATTCAATACAACTGGTATTCCTTAACATTTCTATTATCAAAACCAGTTTTCTTATTCCTTCAAATTACACGTTTTTCTATTTATTACCTTACTTCAAGTATTAGTTATATTGAAATAATGTGCATTTTTCAATGTCTATTATTCTTTTTTTTTTCTTTTTTTCTTTTTTCTTTTTTTTTTTTTACTTTTTTCTGGACTGTGAGAAAAGGCAAATTTCACTACTACAGTCATAGTCAAAGGCTTACATCCTCAGCAGGAAACCTATCCTCCTTTTCTCTCAGAGAAGCACAGAGCCTATTTTGTCTGTGCAGCTTATCATTCTGCTGCACAAGGTTAGAAAAATAACAGGCTCAGAACTGGGTTTAGACCACAGATACATCTGTGTATGTCCTGCCAACCACACAGAATTGTGCTGGCTCCTGCATTCTCTAGTGGAGAATGTTACCATAATGTCTGGCCACAAAGGTATCCCAAAGCTTCTGGTTTGCTCAGTGAGCCTGGAACAGACGCACCAATAAATTAATCTGTAATTTTACAGCATTTAGAAGACACCAAATAGCCCTGCTCAGAATGTTGTCTGCTGAGACAGCATCAAAGACCCAGCCTGTGGTTAGCAAAGCAGTGTTGGCAGCTGTACATAAGATCTGTGTGCTGCTGGTGTGCGTAGAGAGTGTCCACCTCCCAGACAGACACAGGAATGGCTGCCTGGCAGCCACGGAGTTCTGAATGGGGACCAAGTGTTACTGTCTGACTTAGACTCTTCTCTCAATATGGATTTTGTAAAAACATGGATTTGTAAGACAACATACATTGGAGCTTTCACCAGAAAAGCGAGTGAGATAACATCTCTCTTACCTGACACATCAGGAACAGCAGAAATTTCAACAACAAAAATTAGTGTCACCACAGGACAAATTCTAGGACACTTCTCCTGTGAAAAGGGATCATGAACTAACAGGACTTTGGTTTCTTGATGTCCTTTATGAACATTTAAAACAACCTGTGAAAGTTATTTGAGAAGCCATCTTTAGGAGTGAGGTCTCCTATCAAATTTTTATTGTGCAGTTGACAGCTGCCAAGTGTTGCAGACATCACATTTCAAACCCCCGTCTTTTGAAATGCCCATCTTTGAAGAGGACAGCTAATTCCCTGTACCAGGATATACTGACTCTCTGTGTTCCTCTTTGTATATCTGCATGTCTGATTTCACGCTGTACTTGCATATTGTTGCAGTGAAGGTCAAGCATGATACTTATTTTATTATAGGTCTAAAGCTACAGTCCAGCTTCACAAAATTTCCCTGTTTAAACCTCCATGTCCTTCAGCAGGACTTTTCATGTCCTTCAGCAGGACTCTTGCAAAACATACAGTTGTAGGTTTAGGCCTCAATAAATGGTATTGTCATTATTATTTATACTATAGCTGCTCTGTTGGACACTGCAATAGCCAGAATGAACAGATGCTCAGGAAATTTTTCAGTGGCATATAGCTGACCTTGTCATCTCATAGAAGATTTTGTAACACTGCTTATATATATTTCTTTTTTATATAATTACAGAAAACTATTTCATGTTTTCTCATGCTTGCTGAGAATAAGGAAGGCAATAAATCTGGATTACAGAGGAACATGAGTACAGGTTATAGCAGTAGTGTGGTTTAAATAAAATGTCTTATCATTTGACTTGAAACTATATCATTGTAACATTTTGGAGGCTTGAGTGAGCAATTATAGAAATAATATATCTACAGCGCTACAGAAACACAAATACCTACAGAAAACTAAGCAATTTTAAAACCTACTAAAAAACTAAACAAAACCAGAACAATCTTCTTGAAAATCTTGCCCTGAAAGTATTGTATGAATTTTCAATCATCTCATAAAATCTGCTGTTTCTTATAGTTGAACTGAGTCTCAAAGATCACCTTAAATGATATACCAAGTTGGCCTAGGTGAGAGAACTATATCAGCTTTAAGCAAGGACAAGAAATTACTGTGGCAGAAATCACAAAATGTAGTACAAAAATGTCTTCAGGGAAATGGTAATAACCTATGCTACTGGTATGCAGTTTTTTGACACCCATGAAGACACTTTGTCTTCATGGACATATGACAATGGATTATTT